CTACCAAACTGAGTTAACGGGGCTACTCTCACCCTTTCCGGGCTGCCCCACTCGTTTCCCTTCGAGAAAGCTTCCAGTTCGACGCGAAACACAGTTGTTCAACTTAAAGACCATCGAATTCAGTGGCGTGGATCTCCTGGAACTTGTCTCTTTACTTCTTTCACATATGACTTCTCCTATTCCTACGTTCCAAACGTTGCTCATCCTCCAGCATTCTTTCGTATTCGTACATCTGTTCGCGTTCAGTCGCGACGATCTCGATGCCTTCAGAAAGGGTAGGCATATCATTCATAACTGGAATATAATTACTTTATTAATTTACTTTGGATTAGGTGGTGGGTATGGATGACATATAATGTTACTATTTACATCAAACACTTTCGTAAAACGTATACATTATATTTCATCATCAGGGTCCTTTCGTGAAACCGCGGACTGGTAACTAATCGGTTTGATGTAGTGTTTGTGAAGAGTGGCCTCATTCTTTCAATTGAGTTTTTTCAGTATGGATGCGGTGGGCATGCCATCAATCTTTGCCTTCGATGCTGCAGCGGATCTCACGGAGTGGCTAGTGTAGTTGCTATCAACTCCGGCTTCTAGTAAAACTGTCTTGATCCATCTGGCAACGGTACTTGATGACACTGGTTTGCGTGTGAACGGGCTAACGAATTAGTTTTCGCAGCTCCTGTCTCTTCCTGTATTCCTTATGTATGACCGTCAAAGTGCAGAATCTAGAATCTGGGATTCTCTCTGAAGTTATTGTATGTATGTATGTTTATCCATATCTTCATTTTATTCTCATTCCTGCAGATGTCTTGTATGCGTATCACGGTGAGTTCCGAGATTCGTCTTCGAGGTTAATGCCAGTAGTGTAACTGCCTTCCTCGTTAGTGCGTATGGATCAAGTAGCTTGCATTGCCAGGCTGATCCTGGAAGAACGTATTCAGTGTCTGTGTGTCCCAGACTGTCTGGTGTTTTTTCTTCTGTGGGTTGCGTCTGAACGCTCCTCTTTGGATTTTTTCAATATGATGGATTCCCGGAGTGGTGATGATATGTGCATGAAATCTGTTAAAAGCGATATTGCTGCTATGTGACTGTTGATGGTGGATGCACTCTTCTTTTCTTTGTGCAGCTGTGCAAGATAGTTTGCGGTCTTTGGAGGTGTGAGAGTTGTAGTGTGTCGACTGCATCGTCTGACAGCCCTCGCTCCGTTCTATCCGGAATCAGGCTACATAAGATACAGATAGTCATCGGAACGTTATACAGTTCAGTGTAATAGAATTAAGCAATTATATAAAAACCCACATTCCATCACTCACATAAACATGTTCACTATTCCGAAATCTTCTAGAACCCTTCAAGAAAAGACTACTTAAACAAGCAGTTATCGTTCTCATCAGATTAGGCTCTGGGTAGTCTGTCGGTATGTCCAACGACTACCGTATCCTTCTTTTCCGGTTTGTTAGACTCTATCCTGTCTATCCTAAGTCTACCACCCGTTAACTTAGTCTAACTTACATCTTTTCAAGACTTATATCTTCTCTTTACTTTATATCACATAGACTGAGATTTACCATCATTTAACTATGTATTCATTATACGTCTTTCGTAATAAAATCTCTCTTAACTAATGTTATGTTCCCTCGATTTATCTATAAGTTTGACGCCCTTTCTGTGCGTTCGCTTCTAATACCGCTACACTAGAAAGTCTAAACGTTCAAGATTTCGGTCTTAACCGACCAACGTTCTGCTCGTGCGAACGTAAAGGAGTCGCCCTCCATACAGAACGTGGAGGTTCCACCTCGCTTTTACGAACTCTACGATTTTTTTGAATTTGATAATCGGTTATTTAGAGTAAAAATCTGAAAAATCAAGCCTTCAATGTAGAATAGTTTGAGAATGAGGGCCAGCACATCAGAGAAAAGATACAGGTAGCTCCATTTTTTTATCATTTTCTCCTCCCAAGAAGCCCCCTCTTCTCTTTCAAAACAAAGTCTTTAACAAAATGAACTCAGTTATGCTAATTTGAATTTAAACTTTTCCCGCCTGTTATTAATATGAATGCTATTTAACTCTGGTTTCAATCATTGGCGAGAATGTCGCGCCTGCGAATAAGTGATGGGCGGAGCCGGAGAACGGAGACAGCGGCGATTGTCAATGTGTGCTTGGAACCTTGTGGTGATGCTGTTATTCATCCTTTCTCTCTATACATTGTTAATCTTAGTTCATAATAGTAAACCTTATTACCTCGATATGTAGTTTGTCTATTTGTCCTCGATGTCTGGAGTCAATGTGTTAACCTATCTTAACAACCACCTAGATAACTACACCGTATA